GTTAGTCCGGCTTTTTCTTGTCAGTAGCGGATTTGATTATTTTGGCTAGTAAGTTCTTCCTGATAAGCCCGATTAGTCTCTCTAAGTAAGTAATTACTTCCGGCTTTATTTAAACGATAAGTAGTGTATTTACCAAATTCTCTTCAAGGGTCATAATCTGGGTGCTTTTTTTGGAGTTTTTTAACATAAAGAGATAAGTGGGGGGGTAAGTCTAAGTGAGGGGTGAAGTAAGGGGAGTCTCTTAGGTTTTGTTTGTTTAATTGTTGGCGGAAGTAAGAGTAGATTTGTTTTAAACGAGTTTTTTTTTGCTGTTTAGTTTGTTCTTTGGCTTGTTGAACTTTTATTCTAGCCTCTTTTTTTAGCCTTCTTTTTTGTTGGTTGGCGAGGAGTTTAGCACGACCTAATTGTCAAGCGGAGGCTCAAGCATTGAGTTTTTGGCGGTAGAGGAGGCGATATTTTTTAACCTCATCTTTTTTTTTGGCTTGCTGGGCCTGCTTGATTAATCTCTCTAATTCGGAAAAAGAGTATTTTTTTATTAGCCGCTGAGAAAAGTAGATCTTCCCTGATCGTTTTTTTTTAACTCTTTTAAACTTCTCTGGTGATTTACTTTTAGGTGGCATTTCTTAGTTCCAATTTATTAGCTGCTAATTAGCAGAATATAAATAATTTTTAAAAATTAGGAACTAATACCAACCTTTACTTTTCTATATAATATATAAAATAATAAATATAGGGTTGTAAAGTCAAATATTAGTCCTATATTATAACGAACGAGTGGCATCGTTCCAATTGGTAATGGCTCGCTAGTGATGGCGAGTTCATTACCTAGTTAGCAATTTAATTAGGTTAGCAGTAATTTTAACCTAATTGCCTTTGTCTATTCTTAATCATTTAGTATTTTTCTCTTCGCAGTTTAATCATTTAACCAAAGCAATCTCTTTTTCGCATTCCCAAATATATCATTGTTCCTGCTGCTGCTGATAACAAGGGGAACATAATCAGTGTTGAGTTTCCCAGAAACCCTTATTCCAAAAAAATTGGGCGGAGACTCATTGGTGTTTAAGCAGTCAACAATAATGACAAAAAGGCGATGATGGGAGAATACTACTGGGGAGTTGGCTATTTAAACTACTAGTCATAGATTTTTATTATTTAACTCCCGAGCAAAATTCTTCAATTGTTCCTGATAAACTGGATATTTTTCTCCTAATTCCAGCAATTCACTCTGTAATTCTTGTTTATACTCGGCTCACTTAAAATTAGGATCTTTTATTTCATCTTCTCACTCAGCTTGGTTTTCCATAATTTTTAACTGATTTAAAACTCTTTGGGGTGAAGTAGGTATCTGCCGACAAGTAGGCGGACAACCGGCTTTTTGGCAAGAGTTTTTTAGTTGGGTGTCTAATTCTTGGAGGATGGTTTTTATTTCTTGATTTTTGGTTATTAATTCGGGTAACTTCATATTTTTTTCTGTCATATCTTTTATATTATAATTTTATATATATTTTAAAGCAAACTCGTTAAATATTTTCTTTATATACTTCCTTACTTTTATTAAAAGTTCCCATATAACGATATTGATAAAAAATTTTTTGTTTTTCCTCTGGAACCAAACTGGAAAAATCTACTCGGTATTTTTCAAATCATTCGTTCAGGCAAGACCGACAAAGAATTTGATAGTCATTTCATTTTTCTCCTTCTGTCCAATAAGTTACATCATTAATCGCTGTTAGTCGTCTTTGTTCTCCTTTCTTTCGGGGAGGAATCAACTTGCGATAAAATGTCCGATGACATTTGTCGCAGGTGGTTTCTCTTATTGTTTTGATATTCATATTATATTATAATTTTATATATATAAGCACAACCTCTTTATTCCACTCTTTCCCCTCAATAATTCCCCTTTCGAGCTTGACTTCGAGCTCTAACCATGTATTCTTTAATCTGTGAGTAATTAATGTCGGCTCCTAAAAATTCCCGCTTAGTTTCTAGGCAAGAATTCAGAACAGTAAAAGAACCGGCACAAGGGTCGACTACTAAATCTCCTTTTTGTGTTACTGCCTCAATTAATCTTTTATTTAGCCCGGCTGGTTTTTCGTGCGGATGATCTCGTAGTAAAATAACTTTTTCATTTTTCCTTAAAAATATTACCAAAAGAGCGGTCTCTAAATTCCCGGCAATTAAAAGGCTCCTTTTGTAGTAAATAAGCAAATTCGGCTTGATTACGGAATAAAGAACCTAACAACATATATGGGCTTTTGTCTCAGACCAATAAATCCACTACTTTTAAGTTGGCAGGTAAAGTAAAAAAATAACCATCATGGAGTAATTGTTTTTTAGCCAGTCACATTAAACAAAAACCATTAGGCTGTAAAATGCGACTTATTTCTTGTAGGAAATTATTAATATTTTCTTGATTCTGATAAATCATGGGGGCTTGGTGGACTCTGATGACATCTTTAACTTTACTGTATTGGGGGTCAAAGAAAACTAATTTCGCACAATTATCTGCTAGGCTACGTAGTAATTCTAGACCATCTCCTTCATTAATGGCATTGGCAGTAAATACTGTTTTTTTTTTTTTTGCATCTAATTGCACGATAATTATAATAGCAGCTAATTAGTTGCTAATATATTTATTTTAGTAGATTTTTTACCCGCTCTTGCTATCATAGTAATCTTTCAACCTCTGATAAAGATTTTCCAAGGTCTGATTAATATTTTGAAATTCTTCATAATTTTTACCGCTTAAATCACTTATTTTTTCTATTTGGTTGCTAATACTTCTTAGTTCGCCGCCAAAAGTATTAATTATTTCAGCATTACCCTCGTTAATTTCTTTTTCCAACAATCTAATTCTTTCTCGCAATAATTTTTTATCATCAAAGTTATATCTCATTATCTTTTGTGGCTTGTCAAAACTTTCTAAATCTTGCCTTTGATAATAATAAAAAAAACTGTGCAAATAATGTAATAACCAATTAGCAAAAGGTTCGGTTTCATGGCCCTCGCTACATAAGCATTTTTCTTCTTCCTCATTTTTAATTCGCATTTTTTCTTCCTGGTCTTCGATATCTTTTATTGCTTCTCTGACTCTCCTACTTTTAGCACTCGGTTTTTCAGGTTCCACTTCTTCATAACAAGTCGGACATCATCGGCGAGTACTTAATCCTAATTTACCGCGGGCAAAATCTTCTCGCTCTTTTTTATTTCAATTATTTCACAAGTTTAAAATTTCGTTAGTCTTTCCAATAAATTTACTTTCAAAATTATCAAAGTTCATCTTCTCCGCTTCTTTAAATAATTCTGGATAATCTTCATTCTCCCCAAACTTTCAATTGGGATCGTTGACCGGTCAATCGATCTTCCCTTCACTATATTTCCAAAAAGTATTAGGATTTCAAGTAAAATTAAGGCTGGTTCCTAGCCGCCCCCGTCTCTTCATGGCCGGATCAATAGTTTCATAATTATTAGTCGCAAAAATACAAATACTATTTAAATCTTGAGCCTCCTTTTTTAACCCACCGCCATCTTCGGCTTGGGAAAAAAAATTCTTAAATTCTTCTAAATTATTTTTGGCTTGGGGATTGTAAGTTAAAGAATTTTTCGCCTGATCGGCTTCATCCACAAAAACAACATAAGGCAGTTTGCTATCTTCGCCAATATTTCCCTCTTCGTCGGGATTTTTAAAAAAATTATTTTTAGCCTTTTTTAAAGTAATAATAAATTTTTCAAAAGTCTTAGGCTCATCTTTGCCGGTACTCATTAAACTAGCTCCGCTAATGACAAAAATAGGAATAGTTGGTTCGGGTTTTTTTTCTTCATCATCTTGGATTAAACCATGATTAGGGTCGCTAGGGTCTAAATTGACTACCGACGGTCGTTCGGGCGAATTTCTGCCGTAACGATTAATTAAGACATGATTTAGTTCCTTGACAAATTCCGTTTTACCGGTGCCAGGTGCTCCATATAAAATGCAATTGTTTCGTAATAAGAAATTTTTGTATTGGTCATTTCTTCCGCTTTCACCCTCCGCATTTAAATTTAATTTTCCCTCATTATTTAAAAAATCGTCAATATCTTCCAAAATTCGGATAAAATGCTTTTTTTGTTCTTCGGTATAAATTAAAACCGCTTCTTCTCCCTCTTCTATAGTATTTTTGGCTTCGTCAATGCCTTTGATGCCCAGATAACCGTCTTTACATCAACTTAATGGTTCAGTGTCTTTGGGCTTTGGTTGAAATCCGGCTAATTGCCGCTCAATTTGTTCGATTTGCTTTTTTTCTAATTCGCTTTGGCGATTTTCTCTTTCGGCTTCTTTGTATTCATCCTTATTTCTTAATATCTTTAATTTGGCGTCATTATATTGATAATTCTTTCAATTAAAGAAGACATTCAGACCCAAAAATAATATGCCTAAAAAAACTAGCACTAACAGAAAAATTCCAATTATTTTTCCTAAAATTTTTTTTAGCATAATATTATTCAGAATTAAGTTTGCTGATTAGGAATTTGTAAATCAGCCATAAACCAGTTAACAACAAAATTCCGCCTCCAACTATTTTGCAGATTTTTTTAATTTCGGGGGTTAATCAGGTTTCTCCCCCTGAATTTGATTGGTTTTGGTTCTGATTAGGATTGTTAGGGTCATCGGGTCTACTGCCGCCCCCAGTTTTTCCTCTTCCTTTGCTTCCTCCTAATCCCGAACCAGCCCCTGGGTAATTTCCGGTTACTAACCACTGTTTAGCATTATTGATTAAACCAATAGCCTCTTGGTCGAAAAACCCTCTTGCAGGGTGAGTTTTTAGTTCATTAATCAAATTCTTTATTTGCTGCGTGTTTTTCTTTAAAATTTCCTGAATTTGGGCTTTTCTTTCAGGAGTAGTATTAGAGTCTTTTAATTCAACCATTAGTTTCTGATTATCCTGCTTTAAATCCTCAATTTTTTTAACTTTTTCCTGAAATTCTTGGAATTGCAATTGATTAGTATTTTTAACTGACTCAATAAACTTGGATATCTTATTGTGGAAATCCTGAAATCTTTTTTTAATATTTTCTTGAAAAACGGGTTTTTGACCATCAATGCCGACACAAGAGCCATAAAAAAAGCAACTCGGATCTGTACATCGCTTTTGAATCAATTCAAAATCATTGATTAAATTTTGCTTTTCTTGCTCAAATTTTTCTTTACTATCATTAATAGATAACTTTAATTTGTTATGCCTTTTTTCTAATTTATCAATACCTTCGAAATTCTTGTTAAGTTGGTTAATCTCGTCGGCTAAAACATGACGCCCCCCATAATTACACTCGCCTCCGTGATAATAATTACCGGGACAAGAAGAACAATTTTCGTGGCCACTAGTGCCGGAAAATCTACCTGCCGCTCGAAAATTTTTACACTTGCTATGCTTAATCATTTGTCGATAATTGATTAAACTTTTAAATATTTCTTCGGTAATTTCAAAGCGGGACATGATTTTTTAAAGTAGTAAGGAGAAAAATTTTTACTTTTCCCCACCCAGCATTTTTTTTAAGAAGCCATGGATAAACTTCAAGACCATAATTATCAGTATTAGCACTACTACAATTATTATTCAATTCTTATAACTGCTTAAACTCGGGGATTGGCTGTGGGCGGTAAATTGTTCTTGGGTCTTAAAGCCTTGCCTACCAATTTCAGTAAAGTTTTTATTAATTTGGTTGATATGGTCAGCAATTTCTCTTCTAATTTCCTTCATCTCAACTCTATTGTTTTTAATTTGATCCAAAATTTGGGCTTTCTTTTGCGGGTCGGTTTCCTTTTCTAGGGCTTCGGCTAACTGTTTATTTTCTTCTTCCAAGGCTTTTAAGCGGTCTTTTTGGGATTTAAAAAATTCGTCAGTTTTTTCTTCGATATATTTATTCTTGTCAGTCATCCATCTTTGATGCTCTTCCCATTGTTTTTGGTGGTCTATTCCCAGTTTATTAAGATTATTCCCCGGAGTATCCCCAAACTTATCAATAACCTTTTTACCTAAATAAGTTCCGGCAGCAACAGTTCCGGCTCACAGAACAATTTTACCGACTAGTCAAGAGACTGCTATTGTTGTTGAGACTGGTTCCATAATAATTTAGGCTTCTTCTCAGCCAATCGCCCGAAATAAACTTCTGAATATGGCCACACAAATTTTATAAAGTATCACCAAGCCAATTAAGAATCCGCCAATTCATAAGCCATTATTCCAACTTAACTTGTTCGGCAGTTTAGCCTTTCAACTACTACTCTCGACAATTTTTAAATCATTCAAATCTTTTTCCGCCTTTTCTAATTCTTGGACTTTGGCTTGTTTTTCTTCCAGTTTCTCTTGGGCTTTTTCGGCTTTATCTTCATCACTACCGGTTAAAATTTCTTTTCTTTCTTTTTCTATTTCTTTAACTTCTTTATCTAATTCCTTTTTCTGCTTTTCTAATTCTTTAATTGTCTCTTTAATTTCCTTTTTTTCTAAACCTTTGGCTAATTCGTTGTTGGCCGGACAGTCTAGTTGTTTGGAAATATAATTCTTTCATAAAAAATAAGCCGCAACGGCGACAAATACTAAGGGTATTAAATTGAATAACATATTTTCTTTATTTGTTTAGAGCCTCGTGGGCTATTGGTTTCACGTACATATTATATATTATTAATTTTAACATAGCAACTAATTAGCAGCTAAAATATATTATATAATTTAAATGACCTGACTCCAATACAAACAATACCTAGAACAAAAAATCCTCCAAACAGACGAAGAAAATGAGGAAACTTATCTTCTCCACCCCTCCGCCAAACAAAAATATTCTCCTACTAACGAAAAAGAATTACTAACTGTTTTATCTAATTTTATCATCTCCATTGACAATCTCCCTTATCACTCCTCTTCTAATTCCTATTCTCCCCTAAGTGAACAAGATGAAGAATATTACCCTCTCCCGGACCTAGATAATCTTTACACAGAATCAGGCCAATTAATAACTTGATCCGACCTTTTCCCTAATCGACAACAAACCCACTTCGGTAAAAAAGAAATAGAAGCAGAAATCTCCCCTCCTACTTGAACCACTTT